CACACTGTATTTAACTGTAAGGGTGCTTTGACATCTCTGGTTCGGTTCATTTGGTCCGGACCAAGGGCAATCAATGATACATTGCAGCATTTTCTGCCGTCTTTGGGTCCTTTTCACACCACACTGCTGGCTTTGGTCCGAACTAGTTGAAAAGAACCAAAATGCAGTCATGTGACAAAACCCACAACCCTCATTGGCCAGATGTTATTGAACGTATTTGCTCATCTGCTTTTCGATTGGTCAGAATTCACGTGCGGGAAAATGCCAATGAACTCCCGAAAGTAAACAAACCGGCAGACACAAAATGTGGATTTTGACTACAGAGCTACAACTCCTCTGGCTGATTGTACCCCTGCTCATAGAATACTATATTGTTTGTATACATCATTGTAGACAAACTATACATTTCGAGAATGAAGTGCGGCTGCGGCTGAAAAACAATGTTTTAACATTTATCAATGTTTGCAAACGACGAAGGTGCATCGCATGTCACTTTAGAACACAGGTGTCAAACTCAGTTGCAAAAGGGCCGCAGCTCTGCAGAGTTTAGTTCCAACCCTAATTAAACACACCTGATCAAACTAATTGATTCCTTCAGGCTTGTTTGAAACCTACAGGTAAGTGTGTTGGAGCAGGGTTGAAACTAAACTGTGCAGGGCTTCGGCCCTCCAGGAATTGAGTTTGACACCCCTGCTTTAGAAGGAGGCATAAATTAATTTTTGCTAAACTGCGACATGGTCATCTTTCGAAAACATTACCAACGATCCATCAGGTTATGTTTTTCCCTCTCTCTCTCTGGTTAAAATTGTTGGTAAAGCGCTGTCAACAAACATTTTACCTCCACATTCCATAATGCACAGCGCACCTCTTCAAGGTGGTCTCGGTACGCTTTTTTGGTCCGCTTTTGTTGCGCACTCGAGCACGATTGCTACATTTACACCTGCCCAAACTAATCCATACCAAGAGGGAAAACGAACTCTAGTGCAATTCAACCGAACTAAATAAGCCAGGTGTGAAAACACCCTAATATGAACTGAATTTTACTGTAGAACAATTTTGCAGTATGTTACTGTATTTTAAAGCTGCAGAATGAAAATGACTGTAAATTTTACAGTAAAGAAATACAATAATTACAATAGTAAATACATATACAGCAAGATAAATGATGCTGTAAATGTGAATACAGTAAGTTACTATAGATTCTACAGGAAGCTGTCCACGGTGTATTTTTCTGAGAAATATGCTCATACATCATTTTCCTTATATATAACTTTCTTTGGCAGTTCACAGGATTATGTGAATCATGAAGTGATAAATAGATTCCCAAAATTCCCTCTTTAAAAGAATGGACTTTAATGTGTCAAATAAATCAAAGATTATCCAAAACTTATAATAGCTTGTTGTTGGAAAAATACAGAAAGCCCTCATTTTAAACAATGGTTGCAAGAATTGTCCCATTGCTTGGCTTTAGAAAAATTAACATATATAGTTGAGAAAAAAAGCTAAAAGGTTTTTCAAGATATGAAATCCCTTTGTAGGATTTCTGAAGGAAGCTGATACAAATCTTTTGTCTGTATAACTTGTGTTTTCTATCACTTGCTATTAATATTGTTGTTTTGATACCTTTATTTTGTATGTGAATGTGCATGCATTTTTTTGTATTTTCTAAATAATTTATTGATTTATTTATGTTTTGTTTTCTTTAGTGCATGTTAAAAGTTCCTAAAATCAAAAAAGACAGTGTCTTTGAATGAATAAAATGAATGAATTAATTCAAGATTTTTTAAATCTGACATCAGTCAATTTTCTTTGAGCTAGAATTATCCTCATATTAGTTTATATTTAATTAAACAATGAATTATTTGCAAATGTAGGCATTTATCACATAAAAAAAAATTGTATGCAATTCTTAAAGTCACTAATCGTTTATAGAAATAAACTAAAAAAAATTATGCTCGCATTTTGTTCAAATAAAATAAGCTAAAACAACACACTTTGTGAGGTTTTTTTTGGGACAACTTAATTGTTTTATGTTCAATCCACTTAAATTTGTAAAAACTAATGAGCCAACTTAATTTCTTCATGTTGTCCCTACACAAATCGATTAAGTGGAACACAGCATTTTTTACAGTGTATGATGATAAATATTAGTTAATATTTTTTAACCCTCTTCACGTGCAGTGTCTTGCCTTAGGAAATATTTTCCACTGCAGAGGACAAAGATGCATGACAAGAAATAATGTGTGTAAAAAACAAAAAATGCACTCTTTATAAGATATGACTCTAATCTGGCAAAAAACTAAAGTGAAAATTAAATATGACTTCATCAAATTTTCTATTTTTTATGCTTGAAATGTCCGCAAATTAGCTTATATTTAATAAAACAATGCCTTATTTGCACATTTAAGCATAACATTTAAATGCAATTATTAAAGTTATCAATCGACTGGTGAAATAAAATTACATTTTGCGGATGACAAAACACTGTTAAAATGCCAGTTCCCATTCCTTCATGTTGTCTCAACTCAAATCACTTAAGTTAACTTAATTATTTTTACAAATTTAAGTGGATTGAACAAAAAATTATTGAATTGTGCCAAAAAACTCAAGAATTGTGTTGATTCAACTCATTTTAAATTAGTTTGAACAAGCAGCAAATTATCTTTGTTAATATATATATGCATCACAAGAAATAATGTGTGTATAAACAAAAAGTGTATGTTTACAAAGGCCGTGTGTGGGTTGAGGAAGAGTCCGCCATTCACCTCTCACTGGCCCTGCGGCCCTGCGATGCCCTGCATGTGCTTTTGAGCCTTTGAAACGGGCTTTATGTGCGCGGGCAGAGAGAGAGAAAAGGCTCGAGCAGCTGTGACGTGGGCGCCGTTGTTTCATTCACCTCTCGCCATGGCAACGGACAGGGGCCCGAAAAATATGCCCCCTCCTTGAGCCACAGAGAGACTCGGAGATCCCGGCAGAAACACAGAGTGCTGCTATTTCAGCCTCGGAAATAAAAACATGTCAATCACTGTGTGTGTTATACATCAACAAATATGGGTTTATAGATTTCTTCAATAATTTATTTTACCTTTATATGCATTGGAAAGATGGACAATGTCATTTTGGACTTTCAGGATTATATTGTTGACTTTAAAATACTGTTGTTGTTGTTATTATTATTTTTATTTTTTTTTTTGTGAATTATTTTTATTATTATTATTAACATTGTTATCATTATTATTATTATTATTATCATTATTCTTATTTATTATTATTATTATTAACATTGTTATCATTATTATTATTATTATTATTATTATTATTATTATTATTATTATTATTATCATTATTAACATTATTAACATTATAATCATTATTAGTATTATTATTGTCATTATTGTTATTTATCATTATTATTATTATTATTATTATTATTATTATTATCATCATTATTAGTATTAATATTATTATCATTGTTATTATTTTATTATTATTATTATTATTATTATTATCATTATTATTATTGTTATGATTTTTATCATCATCATTATTATTATTATTATCATTATTATTATTATCATTATGATTATTATCAATATTAGTATTAGTATTATTATTATTATTATTATCATTATTATTATTATTGTTATTATTATCATCATCATTATTATCATTATTATTATTATTATTATTATCATCATCATCATCATTAAGTGTTTAAAATTGGCTTGAACACTTTGATTACTGATTTGTATTAAATAAACTAAAACAAATGACGAATTATCGATTAAAATGATGAAATTATGCTGTCATAAAAGTAACATTAAGTAGTTTAATAAATGATCATAATTAATAATAACATTGCATTTAATAAACAGTGAAAAATATAAACTTAAATCTCTCGAATTATTGTGAAATGGATGAAATGATAACTTCATGTTGTAAAATTATGTCAGATAAAGGTTTAAATTAACATTAATATACATATTATGGACCATTTCGTGTTTTAATGAAATGCTTTGAACATGTTTAATACATATATATTATAGCATATTTTATTATTAAATCCTGCTCAGTTTAGAATTCTTTTTTGAAATATTTTTGTAAATTGTTTTGTAATTGGACACAATATAGTTTGTAAATTTATGTAAATTATTAAAAAATGCTAGATAAGAGCATAAAAATTATATTTTCCTTGTTTTAATCTGTGCCAATTTATTTATTATTATTACTAAAAAAAATAATTCTTTCATCCGTTAATTGTAACGTATTATAAGATTTAAAAACACATTTTAAAACTAATTACATTTTACATTTTAATTAATTTTGCTCATTATAAGTCTTTTGTTTGCATGATTTTTTTTATTACTTTATCAAGTTTATTTAATGTCAAACATTTATTAGACTGCTGAATAGATCTGTTGTTTATGTTAAATCACATAATCTGTTTACATATTTTACTAAAATGTCAAATTTACTTCTTAAATATTTTGACTTTAAAATGAATTTTGGCAACAGAAATTATTAGATATTCATTAGACACTCCAATAAAAAAGTCAAATGTTTTTCACATGGTAGTTTTCAGTGCTGATATTAATAATCATTTTAGGACAAAAGATAACCATAACCAATAACAGCAAATTCAAGCCAGAATTAGTTCTACCAGTGCGGCTACATAAAAAAAAAATTCTCCAAAACAATACTGCATATCAATAATAAATTGTGAAATATTTCAACTTAACGAAAGCCAGGCTGGGTACTTCTGGAGCCCAATGCGCCCACTGCACCCTGTCACTGCTGATCCCTGTGTGCTTGTTTTCAGGAGAGCGCAATGGGATGCGGCTTGAGCGTCGAGTCTGGCGCGACCAATGAACGCGCCGCTGCCGCATCTGTCAGGCGCGTCTGACCAATCGACAGCGGCGCGAGGCGGATCTCAGGTGCGCGCCTCTGCGTCCTCGCGGCTCTGGCGCGCTGGGGAGCCGCCTGTGGCACAGAGTAGCTGTGGAAACTATGGCGACCGCGGCGTCCAACCACTACAGCATCCTCACGTCCAGCGCGGAGCCCGGCAGCATGCAGCAGACGCCGCCGCCGGCCTACAGGGACGCGCACAGCCTGCTGCAGAGCGAGTACACCACCCTGCAGAGCAGCGGGGGCACGCTCGGCCACGCGCACCAGTGGCTGACGGCGGCGCTGTCTCACGGGGGAGAGGGGTCGCCGTGGCCCGCCAGCCCGCTGGGCGAGCAGGACATTAAGCCGGTGGAGGAGCTGCAGCACTCGCCGAGACAAGCGCATCTGGTGCCGCAGAGCCAGCATCACGAGACGGCCGCCTGGCGCGCCACGACCACCGCGCACATGCCGAGCATGAGCACCTCCAACGGGCAGAGCCTAATCTACTCTCAGCCCGGCTACGGCGAGATGCACCACGAGGAGCACCACAGCCCGCATCTGAGCGAGCACGGCCACCCGCAGAGCCTACACTCGGACGAGGACACGCCGACCTCCGACGACCTGGAGCAGTTCGCCAAGCAGTTCAAGCAGCGGCGGATCAAGCTGGGCTTCACGCAGGCGGACGTGGGGCTCGCGCTGGGGACCCTCTACGGCAACGTCTTCTCCCAGACCACCATCTGCAGGTTCGAGGCGCTCCAGCTGAGCTTCAAGAACATGTGCAAACTCAAGCCGCTGCTGAACAAGTGGCTGGAGGAGGCGGACTCCACTTCGGGAAGCCCGACCAGCCTGGATAAGATCGCCGCGCAGGGCAGGAAAAGGAAAAAGCGCACCTCCATCGAGGTGAGTGTCAAAGGGGCCCTGGAGAGCCATTTCCTCAAGTGCCCGAAACCAGGCGCGTCCGAGATCAACTCGCTGGCGGACAGCCTGCAGCTGGAGAAGGAGGTGGTGCGGGTCTGGTTCTGCAACCGGCGGCAGAAGGAGAAGCGGATGACGCCCCAAAATGGACCGATGGCCGGGAGCGAGGATGTGTACGGGGACGCCTCGCCTCACCACGGGGCGCAGACACCTGTTCCGTGAGAGAGGGGAGGATTGAACATAACCGACTGTCTCTTTGTCCCGGTCATAAGCCCGTTCTGGGCGGACCGACGGTGATGAAGCGTCTCTGTGTGTGGCACCTCCGAGCGCGCGTGGTTGCGCGAACAATATACGGGCACGGGCGCGAGAAAACGCGAGCAAACCGGGGCGCGCAGAATCTGAAGAGGAACGTATATATTCTTTTATTTAAGAGATTTCTTTTCAAGTCCGGGGATCTGTGAAAGCATCATATCACTTCCAACCGAAAGCTGTGAAAAGGCGTCAGGGGCGCGCCATCTTCCCCTCATGACCACAAAAGGTTTATTCCTGATTGATATTAATCCGGTGCAGTGTCTGCTCTCTCTTACGAATATTAATGGCAAATGCTTCATTATTATTATTATTATTATTATTATTTATTATTATTATTATTATTAATTATTATAATTATTATTATATGTTCCAGAATTCCAAAATAGTCGAATATAATACCAAACAAAATCACAAAGGGTTTAACACTAATCGAAATTGTTTAATTTATTCACCTGCATAATTAGACTAAATGCAATAAATTAAAATAATAATAATAATAATTATTATTATTATTATTATTATTATTATATTTATTTTAATTATTTAAATAAAAGGACTCAACAATTCAAACTAATCGAAAAATGTAAATTATTATTTTATTTTACTTGTCTTTTTAAATATTATTTACATGCACATAAAGGTATCACTGCAAAATATTAATGCAATTCTCTCATTTCGGTCACAACAAAGGCTGCCAAGTGCTGCTGTGTGTTTTTCACAGGCAAAGCAGCCCGATTTCATGCAGATCACGGATTCACACTGCTGGTGCAAAACAGAGGCCTGAGGAAACATTAAAGCCTCTCTAGAATCGCGCTGCTGTGGATCATCGAAATGACTGTTTTAAAAGAAATCCAATGATACCAGCTTCATAATTATCCACTCAGTTGTTGTTTTTAAATCATTTTTTTATAAGCATCCAAAAAATGAGGCAGGGGCTCTTTTTTAAATAGCATTTGTTTAATCAATCATTTTTGTTATTTCGTTTAATTTTTAGTTTCTGTATAATTTATGATTTCAAAAAGAAACCAAAATAGACTCATGTTGCATATAAAAACAAACCAAGTTTAATTAATTTATTTTCCTAGAAACGCGGAAATAATGCAGAAATCATGTCCAGATTTGTAAAAACAAAGACTAATAATAATAATAATAATAATAATACAGGCCATTTTATTGCCAATTATTATTAAACTGTGTGATTTTGTGCGTCAACTAAATGTATAAGCCTCAACATGTTTGTATCTGTTTGCTATTTGTGTTTATCCCGAATTTGTCTTTTCCTTTAACGAGAACTACTATTACACCAGCTGTGTTACAATTATCTGATGGCCTGCATCGAAAAACAAGGACATTGTGCGTTTTCATTTTTATTTTTGATATATATATATATTGCTCTGTGAATACTTGTATATTTGTGCACTTAACCTGGCACTGCCAAAGCACAAGCTGTCAGTGTGCCCTATTGAGACCGGTAATGTCTTTGGTTTTGACAGAAAAAATTGCACAGTTTTTAAAAGCCTTTTGTCATTAAATGAATACATTTTTATATAAAGAAGTGCCTCTCATGAGTCTGTGGCCCGTGAATGGAGATCCTCGAGATAAATGGATTCACAATTTCACACATTATGTGAGCATCAAGGCTGTTGAATATAATGTTGCCTCGGGATGAGATGATGCTGTAGATCCTTTACAATTCCTTCGTTTCGATCTGCAAATGTTTGCCATTTCACTGCTAATGGAGACGGATTAGATGGTACAAAAAGAGGTTGCGAGTGAATGTTTTATGACGCTTTTCTGTTTCATAATAGGACTTATTTATAAAATATCTCAAATGACTTTGAAATATAACTTGGAAATGTCAAGATAACAATAACAATGCTTCATTAGTAATATTTTAAACGGAAAAAAAATATGTTGCCTAATTTTAATAGGCGATACATCTATTTTAATCATAGACATTTCTTTAATATCGATTTACTACTCCGTCATTGAACAATTAAAAAAAACATCAGAAAACAATAGACGCGAGATTTGTTTATTTTTCTTGCTGTGTTTTTTTAAAATATAAATTTAAGGCCTTGGGAATTTTAACTGCCTTAAAAAACTGCAAAAAGCCGCATTAGTGTGTCTGTGTGTGTGTGTGTGTGTGTGTGTGTGTGTGTGTTTCCCCTAAATGAGCATATGCTGTGAAGCGAGCGCCATCTATTGACAATATCCTAGAGAAGCTGAAATATTAGGCTACTATTTGCTTGTTTTCGTTTACTATTGTAGGTAAAAAAAACATTAATCCGTATATATAAACTGAGCATATATTTTATAAATATGCGTAAATCTGAAACCAAATAAGTTGTCATAGAATATTTCAGGTTACTAGTATTTTTTTTGTTTATATATATATATATATATATATATATATATATATATATATATATATATATATATATATATATATATCGTAGCAAAGTATAGTAACAGTCTTTAAACGTGCCAAATCGTCGTATTAGCTTAGCTGTAAATCGTTTGAGTAACGTGTAGGCTAACCGAGTTTTTTTCTGACTAGCTAATGTTTGAGAGAGAGTTCTTACCTTTGAAAGTTGTCGTGTTGTGCAGGTGAACATAAAACATGTTTAGATGAGTCTCTCGGGGCCGTAGATCAACTTTAAAACCTCACTTCAAATCCGTTGTGTTCCCTTAAGCCAAATATTAACGTAGACATTACTTGTTGTGCCTCAAACAAACCAGTTCAAATTAAAGTCACGGTTGGCTAACAAGCAAAGTTCCCGGAAATATTTCGAACGTTCTGTTATTGACTTGATAGAATCTTTGTTAGTTTTCTGGTCAACACAAACACGTCATGCTACTGTATAACGTTCATGGAACGTGTTCGAATTATCTAAAAAGGTTTTGAAGTGTACTTTGGAGTACTCAGAAAACACTCAGAAGTAGCCTAGTACTTCTCTCCTATAATGTCAGCAACGTGGTATTTCTCAACGTTCATTTAACGTTCGCATAACCAACTAATTAAATAAATAAAGTAAATAACATTTTACAAACTTAAGCAGAACGATTTTTACATATTTTACACACATGTAAATATGGTAAATATTCAGGGTACAGTCGGGTAAATATGACAAGATACAATTGAATTAGATAAACTGAATTAAATTAAATAAACTTAGAACAAGCCAAAAAAAAAAGGTTTATATAAGGCTAATGCTTACTAATTCCATCTTAAAAAATAATAAGCTTCCTTCCATTTGTAATATTTTAAATAAAAAATATTTTAAGAAGGCTTGTGTATTTTAAGAAAGAGTTTAAAATCCTTCTAATTAATAAAACAATAATTTGATGACATTATAAAGGACTCTACAAAATACTAATATTATTTTAAATAAACTCTTTTAAATAATTTTTAAGCAAGAAATTATCATTTAGAGTGCACTATAAAATTATTTATTGCTTTATTTATTTATTTTGCAAACAATTTATATGGGCTGAATTTAAACTAAAAAATTAAGTTGAATGTTACCCCATATAAATTGTTTGCAACCACTTACCTTAAAAAAAATCGAGTAAATTGAATATAATTTTAGTAAAATTCCGTATAACCATGTTTGTTTTATCATAAATACATTACACTAAATGACATTTCACCCATATTCTGACATTATCTATTTTTCTTAAGTTAAAACATGACTTTACTTGCATTTTATTGGCTTTATGTTTTAAAAATCACTTAAAAATACATTTAATTTGATGCAGACACTAAAATAATGAAACATCTTTAAGTAATAAATATTAAAAACACACGCAAACACAAAGCCAGAATCAGTTAATTTAATACAGCTATATTTCATGAAACATTTTGAGTATCTTTAACACATTTCCCAGACAGTTTTAGTTCCTTATGTTACAGTGATCATTAGTTCATGTACAGTCCTCAATATAGTCCATAACAAGTCCATCAGGGTCATGACACACACAACACAGACTCTGTAATATGGCTTAAAAATCATATGAAGACATTTCCATCATAATTCCATCTTTGGGTTGCCATATATCCATCACATTTGGCGTATTATTTAGGGCTGTATATGTCTAGTGAGGTCAAGATACAAGATTGTCATGAACAGACGATAAAACTGGCTAGAATATCTAAGCTCAACAAGGAAGCATTAAAAATTGATCTGCGATGCTTGTAGCGAGTTTGTTTGAAGACTATAGCCTTGAATCTGCCCTAGTGAGAATGATTTGAAATTCATTCAATATAATCAAACAAACCGTGTGTAAAACAGCTCTCAGAGTATAACGCAACAAGAAATAGATGCAAAACTCATCAAAAGTCTTTTACAATATTTGAAATAGAAAATTAACAATAAATAAATAATTATAAAAAAGGTCAAGTGGTCCAGGAATAACACACAACACATATATACAAATTAAAAAGTATTTAAATATACTATAAATGTTTGTTTATTAGAATCAGGCACAGAATTAAATCAAGAATAATGTAAACAAACAAACAAACATTTTAGGAAAGAACACACTGTGTAAATCATATTTGAAATTTCATTGTCCTTCGGCTTGGTTCTCTTTATTTATCAGGGGTCGCCACAGCGGAATGAACCGCCAACTATTCCAGCAAATGTTTTACACAGCGGATGTTCTTATAGCTGCAACCCAGTACTGGGAAAAACCCATACACACTCATTCACACATGGGGGGAAATCCAGTAATATCTGGATGCAGCCTTTATGATGCAAGCTGAGAAGCGATGCAATGCAGACACAATGCACTCAATGCAGCTAGTGACGTCACTCTTATGTAGGGTTAGGGGTGGGGTTAGGTGAGTCCATTAAAAAGCATTGCATGCAGCCCAGATTGCATCTGCACCAGGTCTGCAACCCCGGAGGAAACCGACGCAAACACCGGGAGAACATACAAACTCCACACAGAAATGCCAACTGGCCCAGCCAGGACTCGAACCAGCGACCTTCTTGAACTGAGGCGACAGGGCTAACCACTGAGCCACTGCGTCACCACATTTTAAAGTTAAGTAAAATAAAGATTTAAATGAAAATGTCCTTAATTTTTCCATAATATCACATTTATCTTACATTTTCTTTGTAATTATTAGTAAAACACCTTTTTTAAATCAGCATGTGAGGGTTTTACCAATTTTCTAAGTTCTTTCTGAAGTATTTTGGCACATTTAAATAATTATTAGAATGCAATCTTCTGTTTTTGGTTTTGCTTAACAAAGACCTTTTCTAATTATGCACCAGTTAATAAATGTGACATTTTCCCCCTAATAATTAAGCAAAATTGGTGAGTTTGATCAAACATAAGCGAAATACATCAGCATTTTAAAGGCATACAAATAAATAGACACTTTTTTATTTATTTATTTTTTTTGTCCTGTAAGATTTCTCAGTATCGCCCGCATCTTGAGCAGGATTATGACTGCGATATTAAAAGGGCATTTGTGCGAACAGGAAGGATGTTTGTACGGCACAGCAAGACACAGATTACATCTCAGTACGCGACAGAAAAAAAACATACGTCTCTTGTCTTGCATGTGTCATTGGGAGATCATTGGTGTGTGACGATGACTCAGAGACTCAGCCATGCAGCAGATCGGCACACACACACACGCACACGCACACACGCACACACACACACACACACACACACACACACACACACACACACACACACACACACACACACACACACACACACACACACACACACACACACACACACACAGACGCAGCTGTCTGTCTCCATTTGTATTGTTACACGCGCCTCCTCTGCATTTGAGTGAAACTGCTGCATTATTCTGTCTATTCCTGTCCAGTGTTTTCTGGCATAGTGAATAATGGCAAATGAAGCCTCACAGGGGGCGCTATTGCACAGATCCCCGCCTGAAGTGTTTGCTGTTCGACAAACACAAGTACATTCATCACAAATAACTGCTGCACACACACACACACACAGATCACACACAGATGATTAAGAAACAAACGTCAAGCAAACGAATGGCGATAGATTTTGGCCAGCATGTATGCTCATCAATAAATAATTCACCCAAATGGTGTTGGGGATAGTTACTTTAGAAAGTATAATGCACTACAATATTGAGTACTTCCCAAAAAAGTAACAAGTTACGTTACTTAGTTACTTTTTATGCTAAGTAATGGGTTACATTACTTTTAAGTTACTTCTCTGTGACTTTTTCCGACCTGGCTGAGGTTTGATTTGTCTCAGAACTTGCAGGGGGTTTTTCTTCTACTTTTTTAAAATAGTGCAGCTCTGCAAATACCAACACACTGTGTATTTAAAAAAAAAAAAACATACAAAAAAAAGTAGGATAATGTTATCTTCGGAAAACCCCATAGCTACACACGCCGCATACGTATACAGATTAACAAACGTTTAAAGCATGCGTTAGCTACTTTTTGTCTTATTAAAAAGTAAAATCACTGACAATTATCTTTTCCTTTCTTCAGTGCGCTCATAATGAAGAAAATGATATTTTTCATATATTAATATTATTA